TGCTAGACTTAATTTTTCAAAGCCCCCATTTTCTCAAAATGTGTAAAATGGGAATATCTATATAGCAACGTTTTTGTGTGGAATGATATGTATAAAATCTTACCAGAAGGTTAGAATTGAAGGCCCCCTCAAAACATTCAATTGTCTAAAATGTAGGGTCACATTATTATGAAGAAAGTGAAATGACAAGGATACACCTGTTGCAGAAGGCAGAAGCCAGTTACCAATAATGTTATTATATATCTGAATTTGCAAGATCAAGGAGTTGTGCTGCATTTTCATTAGTGCACTGAAAAGATGTCAGCATTTTCTATCATCTACATATATTGTTTTTATAATCGAAGAAAACAATGTTATTTCTCAAAAATAAAAATCAGTAATCGATTTAATTCCACAAAGAGAAAACGTAAAAGAACACAGAAATGCTTGAGTTCAACTTGCTGAGTCCAATTTAATGTACTTTGAGAAAAATTGCACACTGGTAGATACTGGGGCCACAAAAGTAAGATATGGAATCTATACTCAAGGAATTTCTGAATAGATTGTTCTGCAGGCTGAGGTACCTCAAGGACTGTTGAAACAGGTGAAGAGAAGAAATGTTCCTCCAAGGCCTCCTACCTATCCTAACCCTTCAAATTTCTAACCGTAACTATGGCAGCTTTATTTTTATGTATCCTATGTGTTGGGGTTCCATATGAGATTGAATTTGAATAAAGCACTCTATGCCTTTAGAAAGGTTTTAAAACCATTGGTCTAAAAAAACAAAAAAGTGAACATTGAGAGGCAGTCAGATTATAGAAAGAATACGGGATTGGGGGTTCATGATCCAAGTTTTATTCTAGTCGTATGTGTACAGCCATGTGGAAGGCAAAATTCTAGTTCTCATCTCTCAAAAATAATGGCATTTTCAATGTGAATTTTAATGTCAAGCATCCAATAAACATTCCTTGAGTGTAATAAGCACAATGATACTCATATGTTCACGGTAAATTAATAGCAAAGAAAGGGAGTAAAGAGCATCTCGATATCAGCAAAGTCTTCAGAGATGTGATAAGCTGGGTTTTAGAGCATGAGTAGAAGTCTGCCAAATGATAAAAAAGAAAAAAAATTGTGGCATTACAGACGGAATAAGATCAAAAGTATAGAATAATAAATAGCTACTACTGAATGAACACTTACTCTATCCACAGAATTTTATCCTCATAACAACCCACAGAGGTATAGGTTATTATCCCCATGCACAGACAAGGGTATGCCCAAATCACAAAATCCTTAAGTGGCAGGGCCAGATTTCAAACTAGGATTGTCTAATTTCAAAGCCGAGGCTCTGGGTTCAAATAGGCACATATATTGAAAAGGTGTGAATAAACGGGGCTGCTATAAGAAGGAAGCGGTGAACCCGGAAACGCAGATATCCGCTCTCGCTCCCCTGACCACAGAGCAAATTGGGCAAAGGGTTGGGCTGGAATTGGAATTATCGAATAAACGCATGATTTCAAACAAACGTGTGTGTATCCATCCCAGCTCTGTCCACTGAAAACGCCTAGACGCAATGATACATCAAGCCATGTTCAATGCTGGGGTCGACAAGGACGTCCAGATTTGCTTCCCGCCCTCCCGGGTAGCTTCCCTGCCACATTCCACTGCCACCTCGCGGCAGACCCTGTGTCCTTCACCTGCCTGCGTTTTCTGCAGTCCGTTAAGCGGCGCCCTTACTTAACTCCTGCCATACCTTAGGGAGAAGGGCGCAGCCACGGGCCGCCATTAGCGCCCGACTAAGCGCCAGGAACCAGAAGTTGTAAGGAAGAACCCCGGTGGGCGGCGGCCGTGACGGGAGAGCAGAAGCTGGGGCCGTGGGCGGGGCCTCGACACTCCTCCGTTTTTTATTGGAGCTCACCTCTGCCAGTCGCGGCTTCCTCCTTCCGTCCCACCCCTTCCGCACAGGCCGTGTATTAAGTGGCGGGCGGAGCGGGGCGCCAACTTCCGGTTCGGGGAAGAAAGTTGGGCCGAAGGAGGGGCCGCGGAGAGGGAGGAGGAGGAAGAGGAAAAGGGCCGGGCAGCGGCGGTGTAGGTTGTGCGGTGGCAGCGGCTCTCCCCCGGCGGACGATGGACAGCCAGGGCAGGAAAGTGGTGGTGTGCGACAACGGCACCGGGGTAAGCGCCTGGCGAGGAGGCCGCGGCGGGCACAGGCCGGGCGGGAACGTGCGGGGGCCGCGCGGGCCCTCGGCGCCCTGGGCTGCACCTCTGGGCCCTCGGGGTTAAGGGGCGCGGGGCGGCACTTCCCACCTGCGCAGATGTGTGGGTGGGGAGAGCGGGCCGGGCCCTGGTGTCCCCGGAGCCTGCCATCCCCAAAGCCCACCACCCCCGCAGCCCTCTGGGTCAGGGCGGCGAGCGAGACTGGCGCTGGATGCATATCCCACTTGCTGACCGTCCGGGGCCGGGGTGCACGAGCCGGGGCTACTTTTGCCAAAGTGTCCGGAGGGGTTTGTGTGTTTAGAGAGGAGCTCTATTTCCCTGGGTCGCCTGTGTGTAAAAAGGAGAAAGACCTAGAGGCCTTCCTCTTCCCGTATAGTTGAAGATACGGAACGGGAGACAGGAAACAGGTTTACTTTAAAAAGGAGAAGTGCTGTCATGCAATGGGCCTCAGGCCTCTGTCGGTGTCTTTTGAGCGTTTATAGGGTTTTTCAAGGGAAGGAGAGGCCAGATCGGCAGCGCATCATTTACTTTTTTGTTCTGCCTGCTGGTAGTTTGGCCCAGGTGCAGGCCCGCAGAGACCAGCATATTCCATTGGATGATTTTGGGAAACCTAGGACCCCCGCAAGCCCTAAGTGTTAATTCCACTGACGTTGGGGGAAGTTAATCATTTTTGGTCCCCCCTCCAAGCCACTTTTTCCCCCTTAGATTCAGAATACAGATAATGTTAGTCTTTAAGATTCAAAAATAGTAAAAATTTGACTAAAGCTCTGATTTAGAAACTGTTTGAAAGTTGTTTCTTTCAAAAGCCGCCCCCCCCTTCCATTTTAAAAAAATGTATTTTGGACAGCAAAGCGAACAAATTAGAAGACGGAACTGTTACTTCTTTTGGATGAGTTCTATAGTGATTCTAACCATTTTGGTGTTGCAACATTTGTGACTTTTCTCCCCTCTCCCACAAATGTGGCATATGGATTAAAATAGATTTTACTTGAACTTTTAAGACACTTTGGAAACTGGACTGTTCAGGGGAAAAAAGAGCTGCTACTTACTGTCATAATACTGCACTTGATTGAATTTGTTACAGACTTTTACAAACAATAATTATTATAGCTTCATCTGAACTTTGTTAAAAATGGACTAGAATAAAAAGAATGTTGTCATATAATGGGACATTTATTCAAAATGTAATACTTTAAAAAAATGTAGATCCACTGCTGTGGAAACATGTCTAAGATTTATTAAGTTAAAAAAATCTTTTAGAATGATTCCATTTATGTGTGTGTTCTTTATTAAAGATATTTATATGTCCACAAACTTGTATCTATATATGAAAGTTTTGGAGGGATACATAAGAAATGTTCATTTCATAGTGGTTACCTATGAGACAAGGGATAAATGAGTGAGGCAAGAAAGGAAGGATTTCATGACCTTTCTAAATTATGGGGAAAATGTAGTTTTGTTTTTAACAAAGCATATATTGTTAAGTATACTTAATCTAAATTAACGATAAACATGTATTTCATTTACCCTGTTTCTACAAAAAAGAATTTTAAAAATTCGGGGTGTTGATGTGCACCTGTAGTCCCAGCTACTCCGGAGGCTGAAGCAGGAGGATTGCTTGAGTCCAGGAGTTAGAGGCTGCAACGAGCTATGATCATGCCACTGCATTCCAGCCTGGGCAAGAGAGCAAGACCCTGTCTCTAAAAACAAAAGTTAAAAAAATAAAATTTCATAAGAGAAAGTTAGGCCAGTTCTATTTTAATGGATTCCTTCTCTTAAGGGGTTATAGATAATGAACCCTGTATAATATATATTAGGTTTTTTTGATATTCAATTAGAATAGGAGTGTTACCCATAAGCAAATTTTTATGTTACTATTTTGTTAGTTTAGCTAACACTAAAGAGCTGAGTGTAATATATTATTGATTAGCCTTTGGTCTAGTCCATAATTTTATTTTAATTTTTTCAGGGGGAAGGTAGACTTAGGGAGGCATGGGTGGGGAGGTAATGTGAAACTAATCCATAATTTTAAAATACTGTTCTTTAAGACAAAAGATCAGTTACTGTGACACAAATGAAAAAGTATAGTTCATTTATTTTTTGAAAAGTATAGTTAATTCAAATAAAAATTTATGTATTTGCTGTTACTCTCCTAGTTACTTTTAAATTTTATCTGGATTTTCTATAGATACGATTGGTTTCAAATGAAGAAACAGCTCTGATATAATATGTGAATCACAGAACAGTCAGGAATGCTGTGATGTTTCTGAAAATGTAAAGGACCAGGAACCACTTAGATTCTATTTTCTGTTTCTTACAGTTTATACTTCTTGACATACTCATCTTAATTTTATTTAGGTACCTGAAGTTACAATGATTCTTTTACAATTAAATATTAAAGAAGATAGCCTTAATTTTCAAAAATTCATAGAAATTGTTACCCTAAAGTGTTTTCATTTGCGCCCTAACATGCTTTAGGTTTTGAAATTATGGCTATTTGAGAAGTTGATGTTTTTTTTTTCACCCCTCAAGCAGGCCCAAAATTGAATGCTCTGAGAGTAAGTTCGTTCTTACAATCACGTGCCAGATGTCAGTCCTGCTCCATTTTCTCATTATTTCTCAGCTCAACCAGTGTCTCTTTAGAGTTGCTTACAGGAGGAAAACTCATCTGATTCCAAAAATTTATGTACTTCTGCCTCTTAACCATTTAAACCTACCTTCTAAAATCGAGACACTGAAAGTGACCCAGGTACTCCAAAATCTGGAGATCTGTGAAGCTCTAGGTTTAGGTCCCCTGCAAGAGTTGGTCCCAGGCTCCTGGTGTTATGTATCCTGAAACCAAACTTGGATGATTTCATCAGCAGTGAGTTAGTTCGTCAACAAAACGAAGACTTTTCCCAGTGCCTACTCTGTTGCTGGCACAGTGCTTAATAAGGTCTAGTCATATAGAGAAGCTTAATTATATTTTTAGTTATAGTTTGTATAGACATTTGTAGTTGATTGTGGCCTGATTTATCAAAGATGAGAATAGTCACTAAGCAGTTAAATTAATAAATACATCAGTACTATCAGATAAAATTTGTAAGGGGAAAATGCAAATTAAATAAGACCAAATGAGGCTATATACACCCCACTTTATTTTTTTGATGGGAGAAAGGTACTTTTAGAGCAGATGTAGATGGAATTTTTCATTTTTGCTTAAAAGAACATTATACTGTTCATGTTCTTATCATTTGATGACTCAGTGGGAAGTAAGGGAGCTAGTTTAAACCACAGTGCTATGAAGAGGAAACTATATATGGTAAAATCTGTTTCTTAAACACAGCCTTATTGCACACAATGAGAGAACTAAGTCACCAGGTCTTAAAATGATTGGCATGGGGGAGGAATTTCAAGAATTAAAATGATACCAAAAGAATAGAAAAGAATATTTTCTTTGTATTTTATCATTAGATTTTTTAAAATACTGGGTTTTTTTGGTAAGAAAGGAATAGACTGTCGATTAGTTTTATATTGAAAAATGAATTATTTTGATTCTTGTTATAACTGTTAATGCTTTCACATTTGAAGTAATGTGAAATAGTGCAGTTTTTGCTATTTTGACAGAATATCTAATATGTATCCTGTAGGAATGCTAGTACTGGATTCCATGACAGTATCTGCTTCCAATAAGCTGCTTAAGAAGAATACATAGTTTTATTAATAAGTGATTGATATCTTTTATTTGAATTAAAAGCCAAATTTTTATTTCTTTTTAAAGCAGTAATAGTGGGTTTACAATTTTTTTTTATAGTTTCAGGGATCTCAATTTTTGTCTTCTAACTTAGGCACTTGGCAGATGTTTTGTTGCTTAAAATATACTAAAACAAGAATTTTAAGATAGGAACTACTCATCTGAAAAATTACAATCAGAAATTGAGTGATACAATTACTGCTTTGCCGTGTGGTGCGTGTCCAGTGTGTGTGTGGCTCTGAATGAGAGGGGAGACATGCCAACCTAGCAGCTTCCTCCCTGCACTACGATTTAGCTTTACGCCTCATCCCAGGCTCCTCCATCCACCTTCATCTTCTGTTACGATTTCTCACATAATAAAATCGTTCATTTACATTTAGTATTCTGACAATGGCCCTTAAAAACTTGTAGATTCTCTTTTCATTCATTCTATAATTTTCTTTGAGAATATTTATGCCCACATAAGTGAGCATTTTCAGCCTGATAAATGGATTCTTTTGATCCTCTCAATGTCCATATCTGTTCAGTACTTTAAGGTAACATGAGAATTTAATATTCAAATAGTATTTACTTCCTATTTTTGGGATATTTGCATAAATTATGACTGACAGGCTGGTGATCATGACAAATTTTATTTATATAGAAATTTGGGTACAGTTGGGATAATGATGAGAACACATTCTCTACCCTTCCATATTATTTCAGTTCGTATCAAGTGATCTGAATTTTGATTTAAGAACAAAACAGAGTTTGTTATTTGGGAGAGAAGAATGGGAGGTTTTCTTTTTTTCCTTTTAGTTCAAATATACCAAAAAATACCAAAAAAGGTATTAATCTTTTCCTCCAAGATAGTTTTTCCTCCAGGTCCTTCCAGGTCACATTAATAAATTATTTGAGAAGACACTGAGGAAAAAATGAACCAGTGCTCTTGAATTCTGTTTAACGCTCCTTTGGGGTGGGAAATATTCTAGTTCTTCATTGTCAGCCACTATCGATGTGGTGGTAAATATGAGCATGTATTAATAGGTTTTCTATTGCACTGTTGCTTATGCCATCATATCACACTAACTTCGGCCTTGAAAAGTAATCCAGTAAGGATTGTATTATACTTTTAGAAATGGGTAGCTAATACCTGAAAAGTGCCCTAGCCTTGGTGGCTCAGTGGTAAACTGACTAGGACAAAGTTTTGTGGGTTTGGAAGAAAACATATCTGAATAGTATATTTTACGTAGTTTCTAAAGTGTAAACATGAAGTGAGAGGATAGGAATTCAGATGATATTGGGAATGTGAAACTTCTTAATTTCGAATGATTTTTCATAAAAGCTTAATCCATTTGTCATGACTTTAACATATTTAAAAAGCTCTGTTTTTAAAAGACAAGTGAAATTCTGGATAGCAGGATGTTCTAGGCTATTTATAATTAAATGTGGTTCATCAACATTTCCAACAAGGTTGCTGTAGAGATCTTTGAAAATATCAAATTTTTATATTTTGGAGGGCTAGTCAAAAGTCAGTGAGTTCGGTGTGTTGCTAAGTTTTACCATATCAAACAAAACAGTTCGTTGTCCATAGTAGCTTTCCATCAAGAGGTACATTAATATTTTCTGTCCACCTTTGTGTTATTACAGTCACGCCTCACATTCAGCTACTGTTTTCATCCTTAATTCTTCTAAGAATGTATGATGCCCAGAGCCATAGAAAAATAGACTTTTTCTGAATACTAAATATATTTATATTTTAAAATAATCATAGTGTCATGCTGTCAACAGCAAAACTTTTAATATTTATTGGTCAGTTACTTAATACATACTTAATTAGTGCCAGACACTGTTCTAGGTACTTGGGATTCATCAGTAAACACAAAAATCCTTGTATAGCGTAGCTTATATTGTTAAAGGGGATAGAGACTATGATTACATTTCCTTATATAGCTTCCTCCTCCTGCTCTGAAAGTTTTAATTGCCTTTTCCTTGCAATGTCTGTTCTTACTAAACAGACTATTATTGATATGAGAATTAAAAACCCTTGGTTTCATTTTAAGTTTACTGTAGTTGTTTTTTTTTTTTGGGAGACAGAGTCTCGCTCTGTTGCCTGGGCTAGAGTGCCGTGG